AGGAACAAACTTCTGGAGGGATAGGGTGCACTGAGACGACTCGAATCGCATAGCAAATGCAGGGTCAGAAAAGACAAGGTAGGAGGGATATTCAAGCTGTCGGAACCGTCAACACCCACTAGCAGAGGTATTAGAATAGAAAACATGAATACATCGTGATCAAAATTTGACATTAAAGACCATAAGCTTAAAATAAGTCACGACCTTCCCGATAATGAAGTTTCCCGAAATTTTCTGGCTGCGTGCGTGGTTCTTACCATGTACAGTTTTGCCCCTTTTAGGGTTGTCACCAGAGCTACAGCTGCAATGCAGCATTAGTCACTCGAAGTTCCGACTGCGCACGGAGAGCATTGAAAAACGTACGAACACGGAAATGGTGGATATGCCCATTGTGAAATTCTTTGCAACGGAAGGGCTGAAGCCCGATTGTGGGCGGAACGGTGTCCGAACAGACGTGTACTAAATTACCGAATGTTTGCGAATTTGCATCGTAATTTGTGTGAATACGGAACATTATGCAAGAGCAAACATAATAGAGGGCGGCCGTGAAAAACACGTACGACTGGCTTAGAATAGGACATATTGCATCAAATGAGGATGCTGTTGGTAAAAGCAGACGAACCACTGCTGTTACCTTACAGCATCTTAATCCAGAGTACGGCGCACATGATCCAGGGAGCATTTATGCCTAGTATATCATTGGCAACGGCTCCAGTTATTGCAGCATAAAGATTATCCTCGGTGCGTGGAATTCGCCCCCTGGTATGTGGACGAATGCAACTAGAACCCGGCGTTTCCAGCCTACACTCTTTTAACGGATAAAGCTATTTACTGGACTGAAGGTATCTTCAGTCAACATAATGTTCATGTGTGGAGCCGCGAAAACTATGCACCCAGATGCTGCCTAACGGCGGTTTTCCGGGAAGATATGGATGGGAATTATTGGTATTATTCGGGGAATATATGGACGGGTATTATTGCTCTTTCAGCCCCTTCTAGGTGGTCGAAAATATAGCATTTTCTGGAAGTACTTCCACAATTACTCGACAATGTTCCTATATCTGTTCGTCGTTCTGTGAGGTACCAACACGATAGCGAAGCAGTGGGTTGGGCATGGAGGACTAGTTGGCAGCCACAATCACCCGATTCATCTAGTCTGGAATGTTCTAAGGAAGAACGAAGAAGAATATTCTAAGAATAAAAAATGTTCTAAAACGAATAATGTTCTAAGGAAGAACATTTACACAACTGGGATGCAGAAACTGTACAGAGTATTTAATCAAACACTACCCCGGTTCAAAAACTAATGCTTTCAGTTCCCGAGCAATTGGAGATGATTTAACCATGTGTCAGATTAACCAGGACCTTCTAAAAAGGAGTTAAGTTAATATTAAGTGTCTAAAAAGAGCTACTACTGAATTTCAAGCTCCTTTTTAAACTGCATTTATTTCCAATTTATTGTCGAACGATAGAAAAATTATTACTAAGTAAAAAGGTCTAACCGACTTTTTTTTGTTGAGCTCAATGATACTGTCAAATTTCTTTCGCAAACACTGTTCTTTAACGCCATTAATAACCATGGTTCCTCATTCCTAACGATGTTTAGTCTTCCGTTATTTACAGTGCGTTGTTTTTGCTTTGAATACTGATTTAATTTGCGTGATTTTACGAACTAAATAATCAAATTTTCTTTCTAGGACTACATGCTCCAAATATTTACTTGCAGCAAGATAATATTACTTGAAAATGCATATAAATTGCTAATAGCATTTTTCTCCAGATTATAATATGCATTCTTACTTTTCCTATGTTTTTGTATTAATTGCAGTACTATAAATCATGACTGAGTTAATGCTGGACGTCGTCCCGTTATTTCCCAAGTTAATCGGGAGTTGATTAGTAACCTCAAACTGCATGCGGATCGAATGTAGGATCTGAAAGCAGATGACATGTTGGAATTTTTTTTTTAACAAACTAAAACGTTTTTTTAGCAAATTTAAAAGAAAAATATTTGATGTATACACCACTTGACTTCCTTGAACGGAATATTAAATTACACGCACTTTTTGCTGCATTTCACTTAAACTTATTTTCTCGAATTTCATTCGAAATATATTTCCCATTCTATTAATTAAGTTCGCGGCAACGCCAAAACACACAAAAACTCAAAATGTCTTCATTTAAAATTGAAAATATAGGAAAAAATGAAACACCAAATAGAGTTAAAACAATAAAAAACAATTTTTACAATTAAAATAGAGTTTCTACCAAACAAGAATTCGGCCAGGAGCATAAGGCATATTTTTCGGTGTAAAAATGAAAGTTTAACTGGTCCCACTCGGCAAAAGGACACCAAGGTGCAGAAAGAAGAATATTCCTATAAGTTTCAAATGTAAAAAAATACGGATGCTATGGTAAAAAAATTAGGTTAGCTGCACTTAAACAACTTTTAATTGTTGATATCTACAATATAACAGCAGGTTAACTAGCATCAAAACTTAACCGGAAGATAAGGAAGCATAGGAATCATTTAAAAAAAAAATGCGTAATTACCACCCTAAAGGATAAAAAAAAAGAGCCATGAGCCGAGTAACAGGGTGTGTATTATATATATATACGTTTGGTGCAACCGATTGCAACCAAGGTGGTGCACAATGCTATTATAGCAGTCCTATATGCAAATTTCCACGTTATGAGGTTACTCGTTCTGAGTTGCGAGATACATATATACTACGTACATACGCCACGAAAAAATCTTTCTGAACATTTTAATCAGTTTTTTACTTCCTTGTCGAAGTAAAAGGAAGATTGTAATCGCGAAAAGTTTAGCGCCTTTCCACGCAATACATTTTGACCGCTATCGAATGCAATTTTAACGATGTTTTTGAGTGATATCTGTACGTAGGACAGAATAAAATCGTTTCCTCAAAAAAATTTACAACTTTTAAAATTCATTCTGAGAGAATTTTCGGGCGTCTGTCCGTACGTATCTCGCATAACTCAAAAACAGTAGCCTCAAGAAGGTTGAAATTTGTATATAGGACTGCTATAACATGTAGAGGTGCACCTCGATTTGGTTGCCTCGGCAGCACCAAAACATATATAAAATATTTATATAATATCCCCTGTTACCCGGAGAGATTTATCTTATGTTGCAAATTGTACATTTTTTTTTTTAAAAATGATTGATTATTTTTTTTTATCTTCCGGTAAGGTTTTATACCTTTAGTAATCTGTAGGAATATTTTTAGAATTATACAATTAAAGTTGCTTAAGTGCCGCTGGCATTTTTTTTATGGAGCCATTGATTGTTTACATTTGAAACAGCGCCTAGTTGATTTGTTGCCAATCTAGAGAAACTTAGCTCGCAACAGCAAAGGTAACGCCCTTCATAGTATTGCCACTTAAATATGCTTAATCCTTTCTGGATTTCTTGGAAATAAGTTTAAGATTCATAATTTTAACAGATATTTTGAATTTATGTTTTTGCCTTCTCGCGAGTGAGAACTGAATTAATTGAATGAAACCTACTCAATGTTGTGAAAATTCTTTTTGTTTTGTTGCTTAATTTCGACATTTTATTATAGTATTTGAATAGACATGTGGCAACGATTAGAAATTCTATCTTTAAAGGTATAAATTTTGTGCATTTGTGATAACATAACAAATATACTGTTAAGTGAATCTAGGCCATAGTGTCGCTTTGGTAAACAAATATAGAGCGATTAAAGATGCATTTATTCTGTTGTGGTGAATGCGCTGTCGGCGAAGTAGATTTAATTAATCCAGTAATTTAAATGAAATCGAAAAAATGCGCATAATTTAATATTCCGTACAAGGAAGTCTCATGTGGTGCACACATCAGATTTTTTAATTCGTTTTGGGAAAGTGTCCTTTATTTTGTTCTTACGTACAGATGTCAGGCAAAAACGGCGTTAAATTGCATTCGATAGCAGTCAAAATGGATAATTTCACTGAATTATGGTACTCGGAATATTTCGTGATTGCAAAACTTCATTTACTTCGTGCAAGGAAGTAAAAATTCAAATTTATATTTATAGCAAATCATTATAATTTGTTCAATTAACAACGAATGAAATAGATTTCTGCATTAGGCTACTTCTAGCTATAATTTTGGTAACAGAAAAAACAAGGAAGTATTTTAGAATGCTGAAATTAAAGCCTTAAAAATGAACAGAGAGTTTTAATGTATTTATCTACATGTCAGTTTGATATTATGAAGCATTTTTGGCGTGTAATAAGAAGGGTGAGGCACTCAGCGACTATGGAAACAAAAACTCTGGTTACTTGTGCCGTCTTTTTGAAAACTCTGTGTTCCATAAATTTAAGCATTTTTGCAAAAGTCATACGAAATGAATAATAGTGCATGAGTCATCCACTTAGAGGTGGGAAGAAAAATCACATAAAATCAGAAACTGCTATATGAGAGGGTAATTTGCATGCAGAGATAAAATGGTTCAGAATAAGTATAAATTTTAGTTCAAATTTTCGCAGTTGGCAACTACAATAACAAAACAAGAAACATTGAACTCGCATCTTATTATCCGTTTGCATTTGCTGGCTTATTGCAATATTAATAATTATGCAGCAATCCAGCGTTAACTCACAATTGAATATCATCTTTTAAAAGAAGAAAATTTGCACATCTTCACGATATAAACAGTACAATCTATAGATGGATATTTAGACTAAGATACTTTTTTATTTCCTCGGAAAGAAATATATTTGTGATAAGTACCAACCACACTCTAATCCACCAATTACAAAATTTTACATGAGTTTTAAAAATGTTTTAAATTTAGGGAACATTTTGAATATAGTAAACAACGCTTTTTAGAACGAATATTATGTATGCTCACCGTTATTTTATACTTACGCATGACAACAGTTTAAAAACAAAACAAACTTAAAATTTTAAAAAGCAAACAAACATTTTCTTAACAAAGAGGAAAAATATTGAACAATTTTCAAATACTTACCCGATCATAGAGATTGAAAACCCTCTCAATATCTTCTCTTGTCAATTTACTTGCACCCTAGAACAATAATTCTCTGTAGAACACAATTCTGTAAGTTACAAATACAAAATAGCATAATAATACATCGACAAGCCAAAAAATTATTATTATTTGGATGATGGGTATTGGAAGGCATTGAAAGTAACTCTTGTTTATTCTAAACCGCGAGTAAAAGTCACTGTCATGAATCATCTTGAAATAATAATCAGTTAAAATGCAAAATCTGGAATGCGTAATTTAATTAGTTTAATAGATATTGTCTGCATACAAAGTCTAGGTTTACTAGTTTTGTTTAAATATTGTTTTCTTTTTGGTATTATTTTCTGAAGTTCACATTTTTTAATTTGTAGCGTTGCGCGCTTCCAACTTGCACGCAACCAAGAGGGACTGTGAAAAACTGATAAAAGACAGAGTCTTGTTGAAGGGTTTAAGTCCCCCTTTTATTCACGTAATAAATTACAAATGCGTGCTCTTGACGCTCACAAACGCGCCAACGGCGGTCAAATAAAAATAATAAACCTGAAAAGAAACTAAGACAAGACTCTAAACGAGGCTCTCTAAAAGTAACTAACTCACCGCGTTTTACAATACCGCTGCTAATTTTCAGCACTTGAAGACTTGAACGATAACAATTCTTCCCAGGCCAGCACAAGGCCGAAACGCGGGGTTCTTCAATTCTCGCTACTACCCTCCGCGCTCGTGAAGTAAGAACATCACACATTGAACTCGTTTCCTTTATATTTAACTCGGAATACTTCGCTGATAATTTGAATCCTTGCGCGTTCCTGAAATTTACTACTCTGGCTTGGCGTTCCCGGGCCCGGCTTGACGGACGGTGTTTTTAACTGGATAAAATAAATAAACCCTACAATGAAGAAAATGACATCAATCAGAATTCAAAAACATTTTAAAATTCACACAAATCTGTGGAGAAAATTTTTTTATACTGAAACTTATTCTTTTCGGAACCTTACATTTCGGCCCAAATCAAATGATATTTTCTTTCCTTGTTGGAAAATAATTATCTTAAATCAAAGCAACATCATAAACATAGTTCCAAACTTAAAAGTAGTCAGATAGCAGCATTTTACTGAAAAAAGTCTTAATTTATACAGAAGAGAAAACGCTAATGGGACAATCAAAATCGTAAAAAAAACCTTATTTAGCGGTATAATTAAACACTCATCGATTTCGAGGGCAGCTAAAGGTCCCTCCTCTCATGAGAAAGAAAACATAGAAGGAGAAAATAGGAATCCAGAAACACGTGTGCTCTCACACTCTGTGGTATAACTAATTTTTATTCAGAGTTGCACTGCCTCCTCTTTTACTAGCCAGGCTGTCTGCTCGGCCTCAAACCGTAGCGAAGTAAAATAGGGAGGAGGGTCAAATGCACTTCCGGCTCAAAAGCTGAATTTCCCCCCAAACCAAAAAAAAAAAAATTATCATTAAATATTCCTCTTTATTATTTCGTTCTCCTGATGTGAGGGACCTTTAGCGGCCCTCGAACGATGAGGTTTCATTCTCCCTACGCTAAATATAAGGTTGTTTTTTACGATTTTGATTGTCTTAAATTTTGTTTAAAATGCAGTGCATGGTATCTGAAACACATTTACGCATATTTATTTGCTTACTTAAAAATTCTCTTGGAACGAATCTTAACTTCTGTAGTGCTGGAAACCGTTATGAAAGAAAGAGGATCAATTATTTTTAACAGGAGTTGTGGATTATGTATTACGTTCAAGTCAGACACAATTCAACGCAATCTGGATTCTCTCCTATCTAGAATATATTTTCCGCAAGATGGAAGGAACCTTTGATTTTCTCGAATTTAAATCCCAAAAGACTATGGAAGCTTTCGAATCTGCAATCTCCCGAATCTTTCATTTAATAATAATAAGTTAAAAATGTTGACTATAAAAATTTTAAATTTAAGCAAATTTTAAAATATTCTTTTAAAGAAAAACAATTTAATAAACTAAAAGCTTTATAGAAGAAAGATACGTTTCCTTATCCTTCTTCTATAAAGGATATATCCTTCCTCTTATAAAAGGATTTTTAGCGAAGCTTCTGAAAAATAAGATGAATATTTTAATTAGTACAGGTAGATCTCATGCAATGTTGTTAAACATTTTTACACATGTTTAATATTTATAAGAACAAATATTTAATGCACTAAAATGTTCAATATTTATAAGAAAGAGGGACCATAAACTGCGCAAACTGTTACATTATTCAAATCAATGTTAATATTTAAAATGTTTAATATTTATAAGGGAAGATCCTCACAGTAAAATGCACGAACACATCATAACATTAAATTTGGAAGAACGACATTTAATACTCTGGTGGAGAAAGATGAGTTATGTATGAATATTACAAAGTTGGTGATGTGTTGGGAAACAGTTCGAGTTTATAGAAGCAAAGAATCAGTGTGATAACATATTCTGATTTTAAATTAATAAATGGCACTTGAGTTGTACCGGCTGTTTCAGCGAATATTTTGCATCGTACATTCTACTCTCAAAATACATTAATATTTTGGAAGGTAATTTCATTTCAATAGGAAAAGTGAGATTTTAATAATTTCACAGCGAGGTATAAAATAGAATTCATGTATTACTGGATTAAAATAAATTTTGCAAGGATGGTTCAGTGAAGGAGTGAGCCAAAATGAACATGAGGCAACAGTCAGGTCGACTGAACACTAAATAAAAATGAACACTAATTTAATCTTAAATTTAATATGATAAACGTATTTCTGGTAACTGATTTTCTCCAAGCTAAGCTTGAGCTTTAATAAGGCTTTAGCTTGAGCTTTTAAGTTCATAGGCTTTAATATTTTTTAACTTCATGAAATTATTCATTCGTTTGAAATTGTACTTCTCCTCATAAAAGGCGGCCCACCAGCGGCCGAGCGGTAAAGTCGCTGACACTGGTAGTTCGGTCCGAGGTTCGAATCCCGCGAACGGCTGCTGCATGAGTGTTTTGCGTGTTTTCTTTCTTCATGTGTAACGTGTATACAGCCAGTTTTCCTTAGAAAGTCCTCCACAAAGGCATCCGTCCTCTTAGGCAGATAGCCCTCGAGGCTTTGCCGTAATTAAATAACCTAATCTCCTCATAAAAGTCTTTTAATTAATGCTGTTAACAAAAACGTCAAGATTTCATCTTTTAAATAGCTTCTTAAGCTTAATTTAGATTAAAGCTTGCTCAGCTTTAATATCAAGTAGACTTATGCTTTATCACTCACCGATCAAAGCAGTTAAAATGATTGGAAAAGAAATATTCTCCGTTTAATTAACTTGGTAATTCCAATTAGTATGTTAACAATCCAAATTTACTTTTATTTAAACAGCAGTATCTACCTCCGATTCTATTCTTCGCTACTTAATTAAAATATTAAAACTTCAATCGAAAATTCAGTTTTTAAAAGAATGTACAAATTTCTAGCATGTTGACGAAGCTTCCGAATGTGTTTTCAAAATAGTTTAGGACTAATGTTTTTGAACACGATTCAAGAACGTAATAGCATAATACCTCAACTTGCTGTCATTAAATAATAATCATCTGCTTTCGGGAAAAATATATGCAGTTGATAATTTGCTTTTATTAAGTGAATAGCTGTTGTCACTTATTCAAAAGCTGAGAAAATCAATCATGAATGAAAAAATGTAGTCTTGAACAAAATTTGGTTTGCTGCAAAATTTGGAACAAAATCTGTGTCTGCAGACAAAATTTGGTTCTTTGTGTAAAATTATGAGCAAAACTGTAATCGTTTGCTTGGATTAGAGAAAATTCACCAAGGATACAGGAACTTAAGTTTGTGGCATTAGCAGTTTTTGAAGCCGGAGACATGAAACAATGAGCAATGCCCTAGCCGGGATTCGGACATGGATCTCTGGAATACTCACCAAGTGTGCTACTGTTACACCACGAAGGCATGTAGAAAGGAGGGAGTTTTAGAAATTTTGAATAACGATCACACTGAGTGACCTTTGATTAAAAAGGAAAAATTCACCAGGCATTTTCTCCTAAGGTACAGGTTACGTTCTCTTCTCTAAGTCTCATCATGAATATCATAACAAACATAAATAACAAAAAAAAAAAAAAAAAAAGATTTGAAAACAGGTAAATAGAAACTTAAAAAATTTTTCAAAAGCTGAATTTTACAAAAGGAATCAAGTAGCTGTATGAAAGTGTAAAGAATTGCATAAATTTGAGAGGACTGCATATTGAAGGTTAAGAAGATAGAAGTGCTATTTTATTCAACGTTTGGTTTTGTGCTAATTTAGCCTTAAAACTTTGTAGACAGACACATTACATATATGCAGAATGACTATTAAGTTATGAGATATTTTTTTTAAATCCCCGATAGTCTAACGGTTCAACCCTATAAAGAACTCCGAATGTATTTAAGACCTTGCCAGGTTGATGCTCATTAACGTTAGTAACTAAACAGAAATTATTATTAACTTATGAGATAATGTATTTAAAATCCCCGATAGTCTAACGGTTCACAACTACAAAGAATTTAGAAAGGTATTTAAGACATTGCCAGGTTGATGATTTTTAACGTTAGTGACTAAATAGAAAACTTTCAGTATTACATCACTCGCACGACAATTGTCTTTGGAAACATACTGTACTGCTCGAATGCACCTTCAGAAAATGCTATGTGAGTACGATAGAACAAGTTATAGACTTAAAGCAAATGTATCAACTATTCCTTTCATTGTCCAGATTTGTGCTCCTATGATTTCTTTCTTTTCCCAAAATTCAAATTTCTCTGTAAGAAAAATTTATTCTGACACTGAACAGATCAGACGAACATTGACATCTGTTCTTGGAGCCATGTGAAAACGAGACTTTAACAAGTTTTTTCTTTCGTTACTTGATCGAGCCGCCAAATGTATTAGATCAAGAGAATCTTATTTCGAGTAATTATTTTCGTACAATTTTTAAGACCTTTACATTTAAACAATAAGTGTTTGTTATCCTGTCGCCTACAAGAAAAATAAGAT